CCTGAGTGGCGCTTTTGGTACCTCCCATGGGATTTTTTTTTTTTACTTAGAAAAATTCTTTAAGTCCATAGGCTAGAAAGAGAGCTCAATCCTAGTGTCGCGTCCTCACAAATGGCTTGTTGTGTGGCCACATGATACGAAATAGACAACTACCTTAAATTAAAATTCTTGTAATCTTCTCCCTTCATTCTAAATAACACTTTGTTGCTTATCAACTCTGCAATTGGATATTAATGAACTCTAGATTATAAACAAAACTTACTAAATTTTTAACAACCAAAATTAAATAAATAAAATTAAAATTTGCAAGAAAATAATTCTATTCTAAACTATTTTACTTCTACTTGTATCCCAATAATGGAGGGTCTCATAAATGAACAATTTCTTTCTCCCTCTGGACGTCTCCTTCAAAATAAATTTTAAGGCGTTGTCCATTAACTTTGAACACTCTATCAGAAGAAGGATCTTGAATTGTAATTGCTCCAAAAGGAGAGACCTCCTTGATTACAAATGGGCCAGACCATTTTGACTTTAATTTGCCTGGAAACAACCTCAGTCTAAAATTGAATAGTAAAACTTGTTGTCCAAGCTGAAAGACTCTGTGTTTGATTGTCTTGTCATGATAGATCTTGGCCCTTAATTTGTATATTGCAACATTTTCTTCATAAGTCAAATTCCTCTATTCCTCTAACTCAGTGAGCTGCAATTTCTTTTGTTCTTGTGACATTTTCTCATTCAAATTTAAATACTTGATTGCCCAATGTATTTTGTGCTTTAATTCTAATGGAAGGTGACAAGCTTTTCCATATACCAACTGATATGGAGACATTCTAGTGGAGCTCTTGTAAGCTGTACGATAGGCCCACAAAGCATCATCTAGCTTGGTTGAGCCATCTCTTCTGGTGTTGCCCACTATTTTCTCCAATATTCTCTTAATCTTCACCTCAACCTGCCCACTTGTTTGTGGGTGATAAGGTGTTGCCACCTTATGCTTGACATTGTACTTGGTGAGAAGAGATTGAAGCTGCTGGTTGCAAAAATGGGTGCCACCATCACTGATTAAAATCCTTGGCACTCTAAACCTTACAAAAATATTTCTTTTCAAGAACTTGATCACGGTCTGGGCATTGTTTAAAGGTGCTGCAATTACTTTAGCCCACTTGGATACATAATCAATTGCCACCAAAATATATTTGTTCTAGAATGACGATGGGAATGGTCCCATGAAATCCATACCCCAGCAGTCAAATACTTCAACTTCTAAAGTGTTGTTGAGGGGCATTTCATTCTTCTTTGTGATATTTCCCAGCCTTTGACATTTATCACAATTTCTAGTGTTTGCAAATGCATCCTTGAAGATTGTTGGCCAGAAGAATCCACTCTGTAGGACTTTTGCAGCAGTCTTATCTCCATTAAAATGTCCTCCATATGGGGAATCATGGCAATGTCATAGAATGCTTTGAATTTCAGCTTGTGGCACGCACCTCCTAAGTATACCATCTTTTCCAATTTTCAACAAGAAAGGGTCCCATATATACTGATTAGCATTCTTAAAGAACTTCTTCTTCTGTTGCCATGTTAAATGTTCTGAGATGACATCGGAGGATTTACAATTGGCTATATCAGCAAACCATGGCCTTTCTGTGATAACCAATAGCTGTTTATTAGAAAAATTTTCTTGAATTTCCTCTGCTGCATAGGAAGATGAAGTCCCTTCCAACCTTGATAGATGATCTGCAATCACATTATCTTTGCCTTTTTTATCACAAATTTTCAGATCAAACTCTTGCAACAATAAAATCCAATGAATTAGTCTTGGTTTAGACTCTTTCTTTGAAAACAAAAATTTTAGAGCAGCATGATCTGTGTGAATAATCACTTTGGACCCTATGAGATATGATCTAAATTTTTTCAATGTGAAAACCATTGCAAGTAATTCTTTCTCTGTTGTGGCATAACGAATTTGTGCCTCATTCAAAACTCTATTTGTATAATAATTATGTGAAAAATTCTGCCTACTTTCTGTCCTAACACTGCACCTACTGCAAAATCACTTGCATCACATGTAATTTCAAAAGGGATGTTCCAATTAGGTGCTGTTATAATAGGTGAAGTGATCAATTTTCTCTTAATAACATTAAAAGCATTTAGGCGGTTTTCATCAAAGATAAAAGGTGTGTCTTTATTTAAAAGTGAGCAGAGAGGTTTCACAATTTTAGAAAAATCCTGAATAAATCTACGGTAAAAACAAGCATGACCCAAGAAACTTCTTATCCCTCTAACATTAGTTGGCGGTGGCAGATTCTCTATTACTTTCACTTTTGCCCTATCAACCTCAATACCCCTTGCAGAGATTTTATGTCTTAGTACTATGCCTTCTTGTACCATGAAATGACACTTCTCCCAGTTGAGAACTAGGTTGGTCTCAATACACCTCTGCAAAACACAAGATAAATTAGTCAAACATAAATAAAAAAAGTGTCCAAAAATAGAAAAATCGTCCATGAAAACTTCTATGGACTTTTTAATCATATCAGCAAAAATGGCAAGCATGCATCGCTGAAATGTAGCGGAAGCGTTGCAAAACCCAAACGACATTCTTCAGTATGCAAAAACACCAAAGGGACAAGTGAATGAGGTCTTCTCTTGACCTTCTAGGCTGACTGTAATCTAGTTGTACCCGGAATAGCCATCTAGAAAGCAATAAAACTCTTGGCCAACCAGCCTTTCGAGCATCTGGTCCATGTGTGGCAATGGAAGATAGTCCTTGTGAGTAACTTGATTCAGCCTTCGGTAGTTAATACACATCCTTCACCCTGTCACAGTTCAGATGGGGATAAGTTCATTATTATCATTTTTGACCACTGTCATGCCTCCCTTCTTAGGCACTACTTGCACTGGGCTTACCCACTTGTTGTCCAAAATAAGATAAATCATCTCGGCCGCTAGAAGCTTCAGTACTTTCTTTTTCATGACCTATTTCATTACTAGCTTCAGTCTCCTTTGTGGCTACACAACTGGTGTAAATTTCTCCTCCATTTTAATATTGTGCATGCAGAAAATGGGACTGATTCCTTTCAAGTCTGCAATAGACCATCCGATGGCTGCCTTATGCTTTTTCAAAACTCTCAATAATTTTTCTTCATTCAGTTGAGAGAGCTTGCTGCTAATTATCACTGGGCAAGTCTTCTTTTCCCCTAAAAATACATATTTTAAGTGTGGGGGTAGGGGTTTTAGTTCTAGCTACTATGCATCCCCTGAATTTGACTCTTCTAGACTTTCAGCATTTGTATTTTTCTGCAACTCAGGCTGAGCATCTAGCTGCTGCACAATTTCTTGCAACTCTGCATCACTTTCTTCCTCATCATTCATGACAGCATTGATTAAAGCTTTCTTCAATGGATCTGCATAATTTTCCTACATCAAACCTCTTGCTGCCACCAAGGAATCAACCATGTCTATGCAAAAACAATTGTCATTGTCATTCGGATGCTGCATTGCCTCAAATACTTTGAAAATCACTTTCTCATCATGTACTCTCAACATTAATTGACCTTGTTGCACATCAATTAATGCTCTTCTAGTAGCTAGAAAAGGTCTTCTAAGAATCACGGGCACTTCAAAGTCTTCATCCATGTCTAAGACAACAAAGTCCGCTGGAAAGATTAGCTTATCCACCTTTATCAGCACATCCTCCAATATACCATAAGGATATTTAATGGATCAATAAGTCATTTGGAGAGCCATCCTTGTATCTTTGACTTTTCCAATTCCTAATTTCCTTAAGATGGAGAGAGGCATCAAGTTGATGCTGGCCCCCAAGTCACATAGGGCCTTTCCAATGGTCACTTTCCCTATAGTGCAGGGAATTGTGAAGCTGCCTGGATCCTTTAATTTTGGAGGTAATTTCCTCCGTAAGATTGCACTACATTCTTCGGTCAATGCTATTGTAGCATCCTCCTTTAATTTTCTCTTCTTTGAAAGCAGATCCTTCATAAATTTAGCATAAAGAGACATCTGCTCTAGTGCTTCTGCAAACGGAATATTGATGTGAAGCTTTTTGAAAATATCCAAAAATTTGAAAAATTGCTCTTCTTTGCCCTTGTTCTTCTGGAGGTGTGGGTATGGCAACTTGACATAGGGAGGAGGGATTTGAGGCTTGCAAGAGTCCTCCAAAATTTGCTTCTTGGATCTGTTCCAATAAGCTTCATCCACCACCAATTTCTATTTTAGTGGATTCTTCTCCTCTACTTTCTCATTTTCACTCTCCACTTCCTATTCTTCAATTATGAATTTGGGTTGCTGCTCTGTTGCTTTTTCTTCATGTGCAGAACTTGAACTCTCTCCCTTTTCAAGTGGCTTTTGCTTGATTTGTGGCTCCACCACTTTCCCACTCCTTGTGGTGATTGCTTGACAGAACTCTTTTGGATTTTCAACCGTATTCCCTAAAAATGAGCCTTGAGCTGGTTCATTTATTTTTTTTATAATTTGCCCCATTTGGTTCTCCAAATTCTTCATGGAAGCTTCTTGATTTTCCATCCTTGTGCTTGCATCCTGCATAAACAAATTCGTGGTTTGAGTTAATTGTACAAGTGTTTTTTCAATAGTTGATACTTGATCATGTGTAGGCTGGTTTTGCTGTTGAATTACTCCAAGATTTTGAAAATTTTGCTGTTACCATTGTCCTTGTTGATGGTTTGGCCTTGGTGCTATTGGAGGATAATGAGATGGGTTTGGTGACCTAGCATTAAAGTTTGAATTTGGTCTGAACTGCTACTGTTGAGGTGGATAAACAAGTTTCTGTTGAATGTTCTGTTGCTGCCACTGCGGTTTTGAATTGAAATTCTGCTGCCTTGACATGTTATTCATGAAATTCACCTATTTAATCCCTTGTTCATCATAATGTTCTTCATTAAACTCCTCTTGGTTGGAAGTACCAACAAACTACACTTGTTTAGTGCCTTCTATCTTCATATTTTCAAGCTTAGAATTTAGGGAATTTAGGCCAGCAGTGCGTCCAATGTGTTCAATTCCAGTACACCCCTCTTCATTGTACTTTTGTCTCTGTGGTTGTAGTTGTTAGATGCCATTACCTCAATAAGTTCACGAGCTTCTGCAGGAGTCTTCAAGGAAAGTGATCCTCCAACAACTGCATCTACCATAGTCTTGGTAGCCACATTCAACCCATCATCAAATGTCTTTATTTGCAGCCAATCACATAGTTCATGATAAGGGCAGCTTCTTAAAAGCTCCTTAAATTTCTCCCAAGCCTCTTGAAGTGTTTCATCTTCTCTTTGAGAGAAAGCCACAATCTCTTGTCTAAGTCTTCCCAAGTGGTGATACTTCCTTCTGGTTGAGAAAATAGCTAGCTCTTTACTTTATCTCTCAATGAAAATGGGAAGACCGATAATCGAACTACCTCATCACTGACCCCATTCATCCTCACCATGTTGCAAATGGCTAAGAAGTTTTGGATGTGGGTGTGAGGGTCTTCCGAAGGATGTCCCACAAATTGTTCTTGCTGTACCACTCTCATCAAATCTAGTCTAATCTCAAAGTTGTTTGCTTGAATGGGGGGTTTCACAATGCTGGTGGGGTTTTCCCTTGGTCTTGCACGAGCATAATCATTAAGAGTCCTCTTTTCGATGTTATCATTCCCAGCCATGGTTGGAGATCTTTCTTCTTTTTGTGATCTTTTTCCTTTGTTTTTGTTCTTTTTCTTAAAATTTATAATCGGCTGGTCAAGGTCAGTAGATGAGTCACTACTTTTGATTTTCTCCTTGCCTCGCATCAACTGTTACAGCTGTTGTACTTAAGTTCCTGTCACAAACTTGAAACACAACAAACGTTATTAACCCAATCTAACATATTCTCATTACCATTGATATTAACAATCATTTTCCCCGGCAACAGCGCCAGAAACTTGATAAACTTTTTGGCAAGTACACCAAATCGTTGAAGTTACAAAAGATTATCGTCCACGGGGATAAATGTTAAGTATCAAACCACAAGAATATTACTAGCTGAATCACCAAAAACAGGGTATATATAGTAGTACGAAATTAAATATAGCAGAATTGTAAAACTGAAAGTAAAGGTGCTGAAATTACAATTAATAAATGGACAAAAGTAAAACTTAATACAAAAAATAATTAACAGGACTGTAGAATGTAAATAACTCAAGTAGAGAAAATGAGTTTTTGCAAAGATTAATAAATGGGTTGAGTTTAGAATCCTTTATCCCTTTCCCCTTGCTTAAAATATACTTGTAACTCAAAATATAGTCAATCTAATGGTCAGGTTGTCTAAATTATCCAACTCCAATCCCTTGGTAATTGGTTCTAAAATGACTTTTAATCTCGTAATCCCTTAGGTAAACCAAAAATGTTCAACATTAAGGATAAGACCGATATGACCACATTATCATAAATTTCTATTCCTAGACAATTCATAGTAAGTATTTTAACCTCAATCCAAGAAAGCCCACAACTTTCCAGCAATGAACAACTTTTCATCAACCCCATTCACGTAGAACAGTGAGGCATTAAGTTCAGAATTAAAAAGTTAGATTAAAGCTTCTATCTTGAGTTACAATGCTTAGTTCATTGCAATGGGTAAAGGTATAAGTTTATTTTTACTCAACCCCAAGAGATTTAACAAGACATAATGGAAATGGAAAGAAACAAACTAAAATATATTGAAAAGATAAGAGTCATGTTCAGCAGATAAACTTTCAACAAATGAAAATGAAAAAGCTATTATTCTATTACAAAGTAAAAAAGAACAAAGAAAGAATGTACATATCTTTCATCTAAATCCTAGTAATGAAAGGAAAGGAATGACCTACCCAACATTCCCTGCAGAGGAATGTTCAAAAACCTAAAAATTTTGTCTTGAAAAATGAAGAAAAAAACCAAAAATAAAAAGTTCCAAGATGCTATCTTTTTTAGAAAATTCTGCTTTTATAGACTCTGTCAGCATCGTGTCCACACACTCAAAAGTCCATGTTCCCACAATTATGTCCTGCAGCAGCTGCATCCTTTACTCTTTAAATCACAATTTCAAATTCCTTCTAATTCCTTCAAAAACGAAATGTCAAATATCAGAATATGACTATTCCATAAATTTTCAGCAATCACAATATCTCATTGAATTTTTTAATTAATTGCATTAACTAATAATTTTAATTTAATGAAACATGCTAAAAACCTTAAATTTTCTCTGTGAGTCAATGACTCAGTGTGACTAAAAGAATAGAAAAATGGAGAAGGAGTAGAAGAATCTTGACATGTTGCTTGAGCAAATCCGCATTGCTTGAAGGGATTTTTTGTCCCAAGGTTTATCTCAATGGAAATTAAACATGCTTTTGTGATAGAAATGGAGGATAAAAACATAATATTTGAAGTTAATTGAAATAAAGTATTTTGGAACACACCAATAAATTTGTATTTGATATTTTATTATACTGTTGTATTAGAATGTAGTAAGAGGTTTAAAAAGTCTGAGTTGTAAAAAAAATTACGTAGGCTTAATTTAGGTCAATGTATAAAAAAGTCATATAAGAATCCTAACTTTAAATCGAGTCTAAATTAATTTCATACTTTTGAAAACACAATCTAATATAGTCTAATGTGTGCTTAACTCAAATGAACTCAAATAAACTAAATGACTTCTTTTAACAACTCTAATTTCGCCTAAAAAATTATTTTTTTAAAAATAAATTAAAAAAACTTTTGTATCATCTACATGTATATATAATTTGTCAATCATAATTCTTAAACAAGAATTTTTACAACAAGTATTTAAAATGATTTTAAATATTAATATTCGTAGAGACAAATATAATTTTTTAGTTAAAAATTGTTATAATATTAATATTTTATCAAAATAATTTGTGTAAGTATTAGAATGAATTGTTAATATTATGACAGGATTTTAAATGTTTATATTAATTTTATTTTTATTTTAAATAATCATTGATTTTTATCAAATTATTATTATTATTATTATTATTATTATTATATCAAATAAGATTAATTAAAGAGATAAACATTTTAAAAGTAAAAAATAAATTACAAAAAATCATAAATTAAAAAATAATGAAATATAAAATTGATGTGGCTCGAAAAAAAAAATAATTTAATAGAATTGTCTAATACTAGACAATATCAATACCTTAAATTAATAAATAATTTTGTTTACGTTTTCTTAATAATTTTAAAAATTATCCTAAACTGGTAAAAAGAAGTCCGCGTCCTTGTCTTTTGATGAAACCGAAGAAATTGCCATTGAAGTTTGAGTAGAGGAAGGAATGAAACAACCTCTTAGTCTGAGACTCTGAGGTGGGAATGAAGCCCTTAGTCCAGAAATTTTATTTGGGGATATGAGAGGGCGTCGTCAAAAAATAAATATATATCATAATTATTATTTTCTTTTTTATTTTAATTAATTCTATTTTTAAAAAATAATATTTATTTTATAATTTTTTCTCCAAATTTACCCTTAAAATAATTACTATCTGAAAAAAATTTATCTCTATTTATTTATTACTTAAACAATTTTTTAAAATAAATATAATAATAGAAAATTACTCGTCTGTTTGATGTAGGAATGAACGAGTATTCATACACTTTCTCATAATCATCGCCTCTGCGTAACGTGAACGTCGACGACATAAGTCAGTCTTCGTTTCGCTACCCTTTCATGACGAACCCGAAGTCATTGCTCTTCCAGTCTTCATTGGTTCCCCTTAACGTTTAGAGAGGGAGATAAAAAGCAACGACTTCGTTCTACCCTTAAACACACGTTCCAAACTCTAGCTAATATTATGACAATATTTAGTTGTTAATATATTACAATTCAGATTCCTATGTGTACATAGTATATAAATATTCAACAAAATTCTCAATCATTTAAAACTATTCATTTTTTTTTTATCCCTTTTCTTACCATAAATCATCACTTATTGTATCTGTTATTTTTTATTTCAATTTCTTTTTTAACATGGAGCCCTCAAAGAAAATCTACCAAACAATTATCGTACAAGTCCTTAGAGAATCATGCTTGTTCTAGCTTGAAGTCTTGGCTCCGAGTTTCATTTGGTAAATCATTTAGTATAGCTGTTGGGTATGCTGATTGATCTCTTTCCATTATAAAAGCCACCTTTGAACCTAAAAGACACTCGTCTCTAAATCCTTCCCCATCCCACCGCTCTAAACCACTGAAGAGACTAAAACATAACAATGGACACAGAGCAAGAAAATATGCAACTTCTTGGTCTCTTTGGCATCTACAACGAATCATACAAGATCATATTTTCATGGAGCAAGATCTTCAGTCAGATCACCTTAACTCTAATCCTCCCTCTCTCCTTCATCTTCTTCATTCATATCCAACTCTCCGAGGTCATCTTCGGGATGATTTTAGATGACTCCAAGAATTTCACCCAAACCCCACGTGACACACCCCAATACCAAAAGCTCATTCAGACGATATCCTCCGACTGGGCCATTTTCTTTGTCTTCAAACTCTTTTACTTTATTTTCGTCCTTATCTTCTCCCTTCTCTCCACCTCTGCAGTCGTTTACACTGTCGCTTCTGTCTACACTGGCAAAGAAATAACTTTCAATAAGGTCATAAGTGTTGTCCCTAAGGTTTGGAAGAGACTTATGATCACTTTTTTGTGCACCATAGCTGCTTTTCTCTTTTACAATTTTATGGTTGCGTTAGTTGTAGTCATCTGGGCACTTACAATTCAAGAAAAAAGCGGTGGGGTTGCAATTTTTGTGGTCATAATGATCTTATATTTAGCTGGCTTTGTGTACCTCACCGTGGTTTGGCTATCAGCTAGTGTTGTGACTGTGTTAGAAGACTCGTACGGGTTTGAAGCCATGATGAAGAGTAAGGCGCTGATAAAAGGGAATATGGGTTTGTCCATAATCATTGTTTTGAAGCTCTACGCTTTGTTCTTTTTGATACACTTGGTGTTCATGATAGTGGTCGTGAATGGAGGGAAGTTCTTCAATTTAGGCACAGTGGACAGAACAGTGGGTGGGATTCTATGTTTGCTGTTGTTGTCTCATTTGTTCAGGTTGAAGCTTGTTATCCAAACAGTGCTTTATTTTGTTTGCAAATCCTACCACCACGAGATTATTGACAAGTCAATTTTGTCAGATCACCTTGAAGTGTATCAAAGAGAGTATAATGAGCCTTTGAAAGCTAAAGATGTTCAGCTGGATTATCATGTCTGATAGCTAGATATATAAGAAACATCGCTTATCTATCTAAATGAATTAATGTTGATACTTCATGTATATCTTCTGTAGTTTATCAATTTTTGGGTGCCATCAGATATATGTCTATCATTATGCGTGATGTGTCAAAGAAGGAATAAACGGGAAAATGAAGTGAATTCCGAAGAGGTACGTCTGTATGCCGCCTATGGCTTCTTTTGCCAAAGGTATTAATAGATATTTAATGCTTTGACTTCAATTTCCATGCTTACAATGATTTGTATATATATTAAATGAACTAATCATGAAAATGTAGCACCGATTTTCAACAAAATTGACTTGGTCTGACCACATATATTTGGGACAGTTGCAGGTACACAAATATTGGGTTCATTTCACAGTATAATCCTCATTTTTTTATGAAACAGTTCATTTTTTTTATTTTTTTACAGATTAATTTTATTAAAATGATCTGACAAAAATTAATATTAAATATTTTATTCCTTCTATCCTTACTCCACTGGTTATTTAATTACATAGAAGGAAGAAAACATTGGTAGTTTGAATTTTGAAAAATTAAATATTGAGAATTCAATTTTTTTAAAAAATCAATGATTAAATATTGATAAAATTAATTTAAAACGTTATTTTTATATTAAAAATTCAGGATTAGGATGATAAGGAACAACTTAATGCGTTTTTTAAAAATTTATTTTTTAAAAAATAAAAGCTTATTTTGTTAATTATTTGACAGTTTTTGAAAAAGGGTCTGACAAAAAATAAAGATGGAAATACAACAGGATACTTTTTAAGGGCCTAGCCTAAGTGATATTTTTATTTAATAAGTCGAATTAAGACGTTTATAAAAGTTATTTTGTTAAAATGTCAAATTTTAATCATTTAAAACGCTTCTTAAGTCAACCGGTCAACTTGTTTATATAATTATAACAATAATATTTTTTACTTTAGAAATACATTTATTTTCTTAGATTTAGACTAATTAGCTTGTTTAATGATAATTTTTTTAGCAATTGAAAATATCTTATTATAATTAAAGTAGTCAAACCCTTAAATAAATCTTCAAAATGATTATATCAAGTATATAAATTAAACTTGAATTTTAAATTTCAGGGGCAAATTCAAGCGTTACAAAACTTAATATAATTCAACCTAGTTTCTTCCTTACAAATAATTAGAGAGTGTAATAAAGATATTGATTTAAAAATTAATAAATTTTTTTAATTAAAAATTATAATAAAAATGTATTAATAATATTAAATATATTTTTTCTAAAAAAATATATTTTGATTCTGTAACTAATGTCTTAATATTCTTAAATAAACCTACTTCTATAATCTTTGCTGAAAAACAAATAACGATATTCGAGTTGATTTAAAATACCTGTTTTAATAGTCCAATTAATTTATATTCGAATTCTTTATTTCGGACAAATACTAAATACAAGTAAAATATTGGGCATAATCTGAGATGACAACATCTGTAATTTATTATTATCAAACATTACATTAGAAAATGAATTGGTTTATCATAAATGACTGCGATCAAATGAAATATGCTTTCCGATACACGTTGTATAGAAGTGAAAACCAGTTCCTTCCCTCAAATCGAATTTCTAATTTGGAGACCAAAACAAGCACACGCTATATAATTAATTTGAGTAAAGAGAGTTCAAGAAGGGTAAGTCAACCTAAATACAATAACATATATGTCTAACATTTACTAGAGAAAAATGAACATAATATAAATCTAAGACTACTGAATGAAGTTGCAGTTACATCTTTTACAATTTACGAATTCAATATAGGATCATTATATATTACTGTTTGTTGTGATTTAATATATATATTCGGTTGGATTTTGATATTGTGCTTGCTCTTGATATCAAGGAACAATTGATGTAATTGTTGTTGAGGGTTTGAGCAATTTAATGAGAAAAACTCTTAACATAGGAAGTTTAATGAATCCAAGGGATGAATCTTTCTCTTATTTACAATGTTGATATAACTTCCGGATTGGAGAAGCAAAGGTAAAAATAAAAATAAAAAAATGTTATAGCTACAAAAGATTTTGAGATGTTTCGAATTAGTTTGAGTTAAAGGTCAGTAACCTTATTAGTTAAGATAAATATGGCAAAAGATTTTCTTACAACTATTGTGTATCTATTTTCTTAAATTGCAAAATTGGTATCATTCCGTTTAACTATCTTGACTTAGCAGTTGGAGTTAATATAAGGTGGATGTTCACACGGAAAAGAAATCATAATTTTTTTCGAAAAAGGTTAATGGCTGGGAAAGATAAACTACTTGTCTATGAGACAACAATGTATTCTAACAATGTATTCTATTAGGGGCAAAAGGAAAAAATCCTCTTGTTGGTAGAGGCATTATCAAAATATTGACCATGGTAGAAATGTAACGCCAAACCGGCCCATTTGAAGGTGTGACTAAAGGAATAGGAAATGGAAAAGCAGTGGATCCACAGTGCTTGAACGATCTCTTTCCCAATGCTTGTTTCAATTAGTGGAAGTTAAACATGATTTTGTGGCCCAAATGGAGTTTAATGTTTGGAGTTGGAATTGAATATTGAGAAAGAGATACTTTGTGTGAGAAGACGGGGTGGTGTATTAAGTTGAGAAATATTTTGGGCTGCTCTCATTGTGTGAAGACAAATTTGATTTTTAGATTTGAAAAATGGATAGCTCAAAGGCTTACTTCGCAAAGTTATCCTATAATATTTTGCAAAGTAAACCTAATTCTCGTCTTTCATTTAATTCCTCTTAATGGAATATTAAAGAGTTTATGGAAATGTTATGTTCTTGTTAAAGTTTTGGCTAGTAATCCGGAGGTATTAGACCACCTTTTTCTTACATTCCAAATATGTTTTAGGGCATGGCCTTCTCTAAGGCTGGTTTTTTGTTGCTTGTCTCGAAGAATGTATTTGAATTGGATGTGAGGCTTAGTTTAATCCTCCATTTGGTTGTACAAGGATTGGAGTAACCTTGATTAATATAACTTTCTTTGCTTAGTTATAGAAAAACAAGTATTTTATACAAATATCGCAATTTAGTGAGGTATAAAGCTTAAACAACTGAGGATTATTTGTCCCGTAGTTCACAATTATTTGATCTTTATGGATTTGTAGAGTGAAAAATATTTTTACAAAGGAGATTACCGATGTGTTCACAAATTGGTACATTTTGTCCTTTAAAGTGAAAATAAAAATTTTGTTGGAACACTGATATTGCTTGAGACTTGTATATATACGAATTGGAGAATACCTTCGCCATTCACTTAATTTAATTTTTCTAATAAAGAAAGAAATTTGAGCAAATAGACAAAAAAAACTAAGCGTAGAAATACATAACAAAGAGTATGTTATATGTAAATAAATACTGCATATATTAGATATTAGCTTTTACATTTTCTTTTGTTTCTCCCTTTTAATTCAACCCACATAGCTGATTACACACCACCAAAAGAAAAAAAAAAAAAGGATCAAAACCATATAATGTTCATACATTAACCATACACACAGACTGCAAACAAAAGGTACTTCAGTTGCATGCTTCATATCTTTATGTAGAACTCAGTTATCTATGAATTTGAGGCATGGATAGTTAGGCTCGGCACTAGACATCTTCCTTGAATTCATAGTCAGATTGATGTCCTCAGCTATACGCTTGGCGTCATAAGAAATGCCTTCTAATCCCCTTCTTGAAAATCCAGCAGCGTAGAGACCATTTTCTCCTTTCCAGTGATTTGGTTGACTTGCTTTAGGCATTCCATTCTCATTGAACAAATCTTTGTAATCCTGCATGCAAATGACACCGACAATAATTCGATCTAGCTTGCTCAGCCACACTCTTAAATCATTAATCAAACTTTCAATGACAAAAATAATTATGTAACTAAGTTTGCATAAATTTATTAGATACTTATAAAACAAAATAAAGAAGTAAAATGAATTAAATATATCTTATAAATTAAAGGTAATTTATGTATTTTCTTATTTTAAAATATTTTTCATTTAATTTAAAAATTAGAAGTCTGCAAGTTACATTTATTTTTAAAAAAATGTTTTTATCAATTTATTTATAAATATTAGAAGTTTATTCAGATTAGCCTTATGTATAATATATGTTATGGTGCACCTTAAGCCACTTCAGCACAGTGCTATTGTATCCAGTAGCAAAGATTATAACATCAAAATGCCAAAATCTTCCGTCTTCAAACTGAACTGTCTTGCCTTCTTCTATGCTTGAAATACCTGGGAAGACCTAAATATAAAAAAATAAAATAAAAATGACAGTCAAATCGATGTAATATCGCTCATCATTAAGGAATTAATGAAGTAAATATTTTTAATATTAAGATATATTAATTTTTAATGACTTAAATAATAAAATTATTATATATCACTAGCTACCTTTATTTTGCCTTTCTTAATCCTACCAACACAACCCACATCAATGGTAGGGGTGCGACCACCCATTTTTTTCAAAGCGAAAGGTCCCTCCGTTGGCCTAGCCAATCCATATTTGGTCATATCTCCATACTTCACTTTGCTCATAAGCAGCATGAGCTTGTCCACCTTCTCCATTTCAAAGTATTTCAGCAAGCACATCCCCAAGTACACCATTTCTTTAGTGAAAAAATGAACCTGAACATATATAACCATGGAGAAACCGATGTGTTAGATTTAGATACACAGATGGAATTTTTATTCATTTATCTATTCACACAATTATCATTAAATTAACATTAAAGCAAAAAAACCCACCATTAGTTAAATATTTGAATCTTAGGTTAATTGGCTTAAAAACAATTAATACCATTGTACAGTTTATTTTAGATTAATTTATATTTTTTTCAATTAGCCTTCTAATCTTGTCTTGTAATTAATAAGAAGAATGCACGTAAAGGACATAGATGAAGAGAGAGAGGGAGAGAGAGAGAGAAGACTCACAGGACTCCTAATAACAATGGAGGTATTTGCACCCCAATTTGAGAGATCATAAGCGATCTCCATGCCAGAATTGCCACAGCCAACAACAAGGACATTTTTGTCATACCATTCTCTTCCATTAAGGTACTTGCTGCAATGCAAATATTCTCCTTCAAACCTATCAAGTCCGTCAATGTTTGGAATGTACCCTTTACTGTTCTCCCCGGTTGCAACCACCAGAAACTCTGACACATAAACCTCATCAACATTTGATGATGTGTCATTAACAACGATCCTCCATTTGCCATTGTTGTCATCAAGAGAAGCAGACTCAACATTTCGGTTATAGCGAATGGAAATCATGAAGTGGTTGACATAGCGGTCTAAGTAGCGTAGAAACTCAACCCTAGGCACAAAGTTGGGTAAATCAGATGAAAAGGGCATGTGAGGAAGGTTACAAAAATCTTTGCCTAAGTGAAGTTTCAAGCGGTCATAGGTTCTTTTCCTCCAAAGAGATGCATGACAATCATCTCTTTCTAGGACAATGTTGGAAATGCAAAGTTTGTTAAGGCATGCAGAGGTTGCTAGGCCAGCAGGCCCTGCACCCACAATCACAACAGGCACTTCAATCTCCATGGTTTCAAAGGTTTTAGATATTTGGTAATGCTGCTAATGCACTTACTCAATTTCTTGGTTTTCTTCCCTTGCTATGGTGATGCTTTTATAACCAAGCAGGTCCATTGTTAACGTTAAGGTTTATTTGGTACAGGTTTGATGAGTTGCCATCCAGATACTGCTGAACCTCATTTTAGTTTTCCTTTTTATTCTTAGTATTTAATTTGGTCAATAAACATAAATTAAGTAAATTTCAACATAGGAATAAAATAATATCTTTCGGTTACTTTTGGCCCAAAAAAAAGATTTTTCTATTGTCAAGCATTTATACAGCAAGGATAACTATATATATTTTTAGTCCAGAAAGCAATTTTTTTTGTCGTCAACAACATTTTATATTACTTTTAGTAGTTTAATAACCGTTACCTTTTATTAGTTTAATCTTTTTTCTTTTCTGGTTTTTCAGCTAATTTGTTATTCAGAGTTTTTCAAAGCTTCTTCCTCTGAAATAAGAAAGAAGATATTTATGTGCTTTACGTATCATTAATTAATTATTCGAGAAGTGAAATTTTATTAAAAATTATAAAATATGAATTAAATTTATTAAATAAAAAATGAAACTCGTATTATTGTATATATTTTAACAAATAACTAATAATATATTATTGAAATTCTGTTAAAAAATATTAATAACCTTTCACTTAATTAATATGCAATAGGTTTTTCATCCGATGACTACCGGCGGTGACTTGTTAATAACCGTTTCTGCTTATTTGTGTTTAAATTTAATTAAAAAAAGTAATCACTGTTAATTAATTAATGTCTATGTAAAATCTATTATATGTGTTATAATATTTAACTCGTTGCATCAATTTAATCACCAAAGAAGAAACGAAATTAGTTTGCATAATTGGATAAAAGGTGAATTTAGAAAACATTTTAATTTAGGATTTATTTAATTAATAGCATAAGATTTTATACTATAAATTAAACTGTAAAATTTATTGACATAAATTTTTAAAAATTATTTCAATAAGTTATACCGTGATTATTCAAACAATTACAAAAAAAATTGACAAACTCTTCATAAGTTTTTCTAAACACATTTTAAATAATATAAAAAATTAATGTAACCACCATTTTCAACAACTCAGTTGCGCATATTGTACTATCCCCACACCTTTACTTTTCTAATTTTTTTTAATTTAATTTTTACCAAAATGTAACATATATTTTATATAATGTTTTTTTTTTACGGTGAGTACTTTCTAAAATATTAATAAAATATAAGCATATATAAATTTAATATTTTTGGCGTAATTTAACTCGAGTTTGATTTGCTTAGCAAGTTTATTTTAAACATTTTAAAATGTTCAATCTAACTTTTTAAAGGTATATTAAAGATTGTAAAACAAATTTTTTCTCTTTCAAGTATTAACAAAATATTTTTAATATATTTGGTTGGAAATTTAACTGTAATAATTATATATTAAAGATGTAAAAAAAAATTTAACACATACAATGTTGCATAGAATAAAAAATTATATATAGTAAATTTTTATTACAAATTATAAAATGTAATATAAAATTAATTATTGATACTGTTAAATGTTATACTTTTTAATAAAAAAATATTATAAATTTTTTTCTTTTATACAATACTATTTTAAAAAATTAAAAATATAATTAGAAATAAATTATACTACCTCTATTCTTATTTATGATAAATAACTACTAATATTTTTTAAAAATATAAGGAAGAAAGAATTTTTTCAAATATATTAATTATTAAAAAATTTATATCTTTATTTATGGTAAAATTTGTATTAATAAAGTATTCACCTTTTATCTATAAAAGTGAATATATTTATTTATTTATTTAATACATAACATAGTAATTTGACCATTTAATGCTATAAATATTTTTGGAATAGAATATAAATTAATGACATTTTTATTAATCTTAATGAATTAGGTATTTATTATTTATTATTTATTATTATAAATAAAATTAGATGTAGTATTAAATTTGAAGTTATCGATATTTCCAATTTAACTTAATCACATTAAATTTAATTAATTATCATCAGTAATTAATGCAGTACAAAATGCTACGAAAATATTACTCTTTCTGCCTCTGAAAATAGTTTTTGAATTATTTTTAAAAATAATAATCATTTTATAATTTTAAAATAAAATTAATTTTTATCTTTAAATTTTACCCTTAAAATAATTATACTAAAATTTATTCAATATTTTTTCTATTTATTTATTATATAATAAAATATTTTATAATAATTTTAATAAAAATAAAATAATTAAATGTAGTTTTTAATTTCTTTATCGTACAATCTTAAATGACTATTTGGTGGAGAAAAAGCTACTAGCATTATTCCAAAATGCTAAAAGTGGTTCAAATCCAACATTACAAATTAACTTTTTGGAACATTTTCCTTCTTTTCCCATCATAACATATGCCACATCCAGGAAATAAGGTATAATCAACGATAATTTTATGACAGCTTTTTGAGTTTTTTGGAGACAGAACTGTATTCACTATCACTAACACCGTTGACTGGTGTCACTGAATGAACTTTTCTTACAAACGAATGATTAAAGAATAATTAAATATTAAATTCTTATTAAATGTCATAATGAAACTATATTAACAATACTTTGTATAATTTTTATTTATTAATCAATATCTAATTAAGACACTTATTAACATTTTATATGATCCTTCGACGTGGCTTGCGGTCTGCATGCAAAACTGTCACCCTTGCATGCCTTCCTATCCACAAAAACAGACACGTCGGTGTGAAAGCAATCAGACAAAGCAATATATTTCTATTCAGAAAATGCCTATCTGACATCATCGGATACAATTATTTATTTATTATTAATATATTTATTTCTGAAAATGTTTTCGGTTTATCCTTTTCTGTCATTACTCCCAGAGTAGGGATGACGAGATTGCATGAAGTAAGGGCTCAGGAAATAAGGGGACGACATTGAATGATGCAGATTAGATCAACAGTGAAGACAGCTAAGACTCGAATATTTTTATCCTCAAAAAATAGAATCATAAATGCCCTTAACTATGTTAACCTTTTCTTTAAAATAAACGTTATATAAAGAAAGAAAATATTTTATTAAAAATATTTGTCATATTTTTCTAATTTTAATATACTAAATATTTTTTAATAAAAATTACTATCTTTAAGTGTTTAAATTCAATTATAATGTTAATAAAAATTATAAATAAATTTGAGATAATTTATTTGAGTAAAATTTATTTTTAGTTTAAGAATATGATAAATTTTTATTATATCTAATATTTGATGTAGACCTGATATAAAGAATATGACATGAATTTGTAAAAATTAACAAAATTATTTTTTATACATTTATTAAATTAAATTTTATATTTTTATTTTATATAAAAATATATAAATAAAATATTTTTAATTTTAAGAATATATAAAAAATTATATATTTTTAAAATTGTAATATATTTTTAAAAATATATAAAAATAGAGAGGAGAAAAAAAAATAGAGAAGAGAGAGGTAATAAAATAAAGTAAAGATATTTTTAAACAATTATTATATTTTTTTCTTTTCTAACTTAGTCATACTCTGAGGATAAAAATTACATTAGTCTAACATAATAAGATAGTTAATAAAATTAGTTAATCTTATCGATGTGTGTAACTTAATAAATATTTAATTAACAACAAAAATATACATTATTCTATCTTTTTACTCTTATTTTAGCCAAACAAATTCTCAACATTTAATCATGTTTTGAAAAATTAGTTTCTCATGTAAAAAGTAAAATAAAATGTTAACAAAAGAAAATTTATCTAATTTATAACGATCATCAATATTTTATTAAAATATGGAAATGAAAAAATATTTACAATTAATTTGATGTAAACTTAAATTATTTTTAAGGGTATAAATGGTAAAAAGTGTGTAAAAAAAGTGTACATAGATTATAAATCAATTATACATTAGAAATATATAATTTATAATATTATTTTCTTTTTTCATTATAATATATATAATTATTAATAATATTTTATAAATATAAATTTTATTAATGTGATATATCTATATTATAAAACATTTTATCTACAATTTATGATTGTATTACCTATAATAATAAAAACCATAACTGATCAATTATAGATAGGTCAATTTTTATATTATTATTTTAAAATTATAAATTTATAATAATATTGTTATAATCATATTTATATATTTATTGATATGTATCACAACTAAATAATATATATTAAAGAGGGAAAATATGAAAAAATAGATAAAATAATAGTTAAAATTAAATATTAATTTTATAATTCAAAAATGTAGATAACGACTTGATCATCTAATCACTTTAAAGGATTGTATGTGTTTTTTATCTAAATTATTTAAATAAATTATAATAATTTATTTTTATTATTCATATTCTCATAATAATAAAGTATTTTCACTTAATTTGTTTTATATATATATATATATGTATGTATGTATTCATCTTTTTTCATAAATCCAATCGTCTCATGAAGGACTCCTATATTTTTACTGTCGTTGGTTTTCTGTCCATTCTTTATTTCCTTAATTTTTTTGGATTGTGCTGTTTCTTCAATGCACTTCAATGGACTCACCATTCAAATTTGTTTTTAAAGAAAAATACTCTCCATTTTAAACTAATTTTTTTTTTATGTTTCAAAACTATTGTCATTCTAGATATTTAAGGTTTGGTTAGAAAAAGTTAACATTATCATTTAAATAATTTAAAATTATCTCAACTAACAAAATAAAATATGAAAAAAAATTAAGAGTGCTTTAATTAAGTTATAATACAATTTTACATCGGAGTAAGAATCCAGATTCCACGCCCTGCATGGCCTTCTGTTATTTCTACACACTGATTTCTTCGGAAAAGGAAATAGGGAATGCTTTGTTAACGATATATGTAATTTTGTTGTAAAAAAATTTAAATAAATAGAGAGATGAAGATGTGGGCTGTGCTTTCAGCCCATTTCCTCTACATGAACGTCACCTATTTTGTAATGGATAATTCAATAATGTGATGCTGCTATTCTTTTACTCCTACCCAAAAACAACTCATGTTTTGATACAAATTTTTTTATGTATGATCCATTATTGACCCTAGAGAAATAAACGGGTTATTTGTTGAAATTTTTGTAGTTGAGAGAAAATTGCTCAGGTTAAAAGAAAAGGGATTCTCAGGACAACCAAGAAGTTAATAAGTTTCTAATAAACAATCCAAATTTTTATAAAAAATAAGAAAGTTTATAATTTAAAATAAAAAAACTCCATAAATACTTGGGCCATATTTTTTAAAATAAATGTAAATAAGTGAATTAAAATACAATAGATATATTATTAGTAACTACCGAAATTAAAATTCCTTTTACCATTGTTTTCTTTTTCTAAATCTCGTTATTCCCACTTTCTCTCTAACTCTAACACTCCCTAACAAAATTCTACAATTTCACTCACTAACATTACCTCAATTCACTTGTCACTTCATTGTCATCCTTGGTTTTCTAAGCCACCGTAAAAGAGCCATCAACACCCTTCCAAGACCAATAAGCTCTTCTTTCTAATACCATGATAAAACATAAATATATTTTGTTGCAAGATCTTTTAATTAGTTTAGTAAGGTGTTACCTCTTATGTAATGTTGTTCGATCATTTATAAAAATTTAAAAATTACAAAATCCGTGGTTCAACGGAATATTTTGATAATAGAGGAAAAGCAGATAGTGATTTTAATTAATCGATCTGGAATATTTTTAAAAGGAAAATTCAAATGAATCCTAAATTCAAATTCACACGAATTGCCTAAAAACGGTACTTCACGAAGCAAAATTTGTGGTCTCCTTGGGTCAGCCCAACCATAAGTATTCTAGCCCACTTTATTTATGAGGTAAGCCCTATTATAAGATGGATTGATAAAAATTAAGGTCAATTATAGAATTTTAAGGGTTAATCCATGGATTTAAATCCTATTTGACAGCTCTAATCAGAGTGTTTCCCAGTCTTCCCAAAAACATTCCAAAGAGAAGAATATTGGAGACAAGCTTTTTATCATTTATCTGTAACTATTCAAAAATGATTTAGCTTTTATATATATATATATATATATAATTGATCAAAGGCTTTTAAGGATTGTTTATAACTTCATTTTATTTGTTTTGTAAACTTGGTTCTATGGTGTAGTGGTTAGCACTCTGGACTTTGAATCCAGCGACCTGGGTTCGACTCCCGGTAGGACCTCTTTTTGCTATTTTGTATGTTATTCATGGCAAACGGTGTAGAGCTAATTTACAAAAGGAAGTGATCCATATAATTGTTAACATCTTAGGATGACAAATATTACACAACAAAATGCAAGCCATTAATAATCTCTTTTTTTTAAAGAAGCCATGTTGTCGTTAAAGAAATGAATCAATAAATTTCACTTGTCCTTTTCTTTACCAAGTCATCTAATTAGTTGAAAAATTAAAATCAACTTATATAAATAATTTATGAATATTAATTTTTAAATAAGAAGAATGTTTTCAAAATCTTTTTCAAACATTTTAAAACGTCAATTATCTTTCTTATCATACTACATTTTTACATTAAGCATCTACTTTTTAATTTAAATATTTATAGAAATTTTTATTTAAAAATTGTCTCTTTATTTATTTAATTCAATATACTAAATTATTTTATTGTTAATATTTATATTATTTACTCTTTTTAATTTATAAAACTTAATACATTTAAAATTAATAATTCAATGTATTTTTAATTTTTAATTTTAATTAATATTTGTGAAATGTGAAGTGTACAGAAAATGTAATAGTCTTATACTAAGATAGGTAAATTCAACGATACTTTAAAACGTAGTAGGATTTCAATATTGTTTTATCTGCCCAATAATAATTTAACTCAATTCTTAACCACTTTATTATCTAGTATGATTTTTAAAATTTATTTTAAATTTAAAAATACTTAAAAATAACAATTGGCTAATTTCATAATGTAACGTATAAACTCCTACTCTATAAAATCTTGTGATTTATGGAAGTTGAATTTAAAAAAATTCTCAACACTATTGAGAAACCTCAGTTTCTAATAAAAGATAGAAACGTGAAATTAAATATAGTCTAATACCTTAAACCATCAAAATAGAATTAAGGAGTTAAATATACCTACTAAATTATTATTAATTTACATATAATAGATATCATACCCTTTCAAATTAAAAAAAAAAAATACCGGGACAAGTACATAAAAAGTATTCATAAGAAACTTAATATTAAGGAACACAAATTACTGGATGATACGAATAGGTAATTTCCTAATTAAAATAAATAATTAAACATTTTTATTACAATACCATGTATTGTATTAAAATTATATAAATTATTTAATTTAAGCCATTTTACCTATATGAAAATATTTGCGTACATAATATGTATATTCATTAACAAGACCCATAGGTTTGTAAAACTAACTAAATTTTAATAAATCAAGTAAGAATTATTTAAAAAAGAAAAGAAAAAAAAAAAAAAAAAACCCTTTTCCTTCTCCCCTGAATCAGAGAACAAAGCCTTAGTTTATTGGATCAAACGGGTATCTTATACCTTAATTTTGATGGGATGGAAGAGATCACCAAAATTCTTTCGCCAACTGCATTGACAGAACCTGTTTCTCCAAACTATAAGTAAAAGTTGTTTTTTTCTAAGTTAATTTTCAATGGCTTGTAAAACAACATGCTATATGACAATCAATAGAAGCAGATAACAGCCAGTTTAACGGTATAAGACTTTCTTAATTTACATGACTTTGTTTAGCGGTATAAAACAGCCAAAGGCTAATATTCCACCTTAGTTTTCTCGAATTGAAGAGCAGAAGCAAAAATACTTCGAATATATGCTTCCATAAAACCAACCATACATAATTAAAAGTCCATGTCTCCCAATTAATTTACATAGCTAACTAGGAAATAGTCACCTTTGGCATCCAAAATGTCTTGAGCTTCACAATTCAGGGATAAAACAAGTTTGAGAGACTAGTTGAAGATGTGACACATAATCAGCTGGACTCAAGTCTCTGCATGCAGCTCAACACAAACATATCTACAAGGGGGCTGGAAATTATAGTTTTAACTTCTCAGAGCCCTTCAAGGGCAAGGGCACTTCCTTGAAGTGTGTTGTGCTTAATGAGCTGGATAAGGGAAAGAGGTGAATGTGCGGTGTGCATGGACAGCACAGGCACAATGCACAGATGTCAAATTGAGACAGCCACTCATGATGAGTGAATGCCTACCTGAGCATGTGTGTAGTGAAGGGAATGAGTCACAAACTGCTTGAACAGCAGAAGGGGTGAGTGCAGTGCATTGGCTAATGTTGAGAGTCCTTAAACCATCTTCATCATTTCCTCCTTTCACAGATCCCCACATCCTGTTGTTATTGTTCACCTTGCTGTGTGCCAAGGAATACATTGCTCTGTCTGTTATATTCTTACAATAGTACAGCCCAAGGGACCTCAGGTGGGGGCATCTATTTGCCAATGCAATCACACTATCATCTGCAATATCAACATCCAAGTCAAAATTGCACTAATCATTCAACCAAAAATCAGATATTTTAGTTTGTAAGATTTATGGCGACGACTAATAAAAATAGCTTGTGACTTTTATAAGCTCTTTTTAGATTGTTTCAATAAATTACTTAGTATAATTTATCAAAATAAGTCATTTTTAACTTATTTCAACAAATTTTATCATTGAACTTGTGACATAAGGCATCGTTTAAAAAATACTAACTAAATAAGTGTTTAAATAAGCTCGTACCCAGACAAACTTTTATCTTAACCGGTTTACTTTCATGTCTAAGCACATTCTGTGGCCTTTTCATGAAAATCAGATATTTTGTAATGTAACAAAAATATGAACGTCAAATTTGGCAAAGTAATTCCGGTTTAAATAATTGAAATTTTGAATAAAATACCTGTTATACGGACACAGCCACACAAGTCAACTGTCCTAAGATCAGGGCACCCGTATGCTAAACTAGTCACTCCAATATCACCAACATTATCACACCATCCAAGGTTCAAAGATTGTAACTGATTGCAGTATTGTCCAATAGCCTGCATATATCATTTAGTCAATGGGTTATAAATCAAAGCCATCTTAATTCTTATATGATTATGAAAACCAACTAGTCTACCACAGTCATGCCTGTAACGCAGTATCAGATGCAGCTCTAACACATCCACAGAGATTTAGAACTTTCAGTTTTCTGCAGAAACTGGCAAGGTAAGCCAAGGCATTGTCACTGAATGCTGAACACCCGCTGATGTTCAGTTTTGTAAGATCTTGACAACCAAGGGCTATAGCATAGAGTGACCGATCCGTAAGCTTGAAACTTTTGCTGAGGTCCAGGATTTGCAGTTCATGGCAGCATTTTGCTATTGTCTCAACAGCATCATCCTCTAGTTGAGGCTTGTCTTGACGAAGGATTAGAGTTTGCAATTTTGTGAATTTAGGAACGAGAGATAGGACCAAGTTATTCATGTTCTTGCTACACCTGCAGCGAGATTAATTATATAATCCTGTCATTACTACATTCCATGAACTCCATAATAACTACAAGCAAGTCCTGCTACTGAACCAAAATAAGTGTTCTATGAAGATTTCTGAAAAGAGGCCAATATTAGAGGCAAATGAAGGAATTTTAAGAAATGGATTTTAGTCATCGGGCAAAAATTCATGATACCACATTGACTTAAAGGAAAAAACTGCTAAGCCATGATTTCCAAGATTTAGAATTTTAATAAACTCAATATTTTCATGTTAAAAAATTAGTACATTTATTCCAGAAATCAGCTTCAGAAATTTAAAGGACCTAAGTTACTTGGGCGAGAAAGAGAGTATTAACCTCCGTTACACAGTTCAGACAGCTTAACAGTTCAGTCACAACAACACCTTGGCAAAGAAAATTGTTGAGACACCTCTTAGCTCAACTTATCAAGTTAAAAGCCCTTGTTTAACCACATATCACATAAAATTCTCATCAGAAAATCTCTAACACATTCTTAAGTAATTGAAAACATGCCAGTTACAATCACATGCCCATCAAACTGAGGGATTCTCCAATTCCCTAAAAGCAAAGGATGCAACTCAGCTTGCTGCAGAGGAGAAAGGAGCAATGGACTCATAGAAAAACAAGCAAAAGACATATCATCGGGATCAAGAATTGCAACATAGAAAAATCAATTCACACAAACAAGCAAAAGGAACCAAGAAAAATTCACCAAAATAAAGCCCCCAATTGGAGAGAAATAGAGAAGGCTTAAAAGAAAGAGAGAGCAATATACCAAGAGAGGGATAAACGTGCAAGGCCAAAGTAAATAGCATCTCTCCAGCCACGACAAACTCCAGAAGCTGTGATCACCGTCTGATCATCCACAAGGGACAGAATCTGAACCAAAAGCTCTACAGGAATATCCTTCCATTCTGTGATGACCCCAACCTTCATGTTCACCCCTTTCTCACTGTTCCCACTCCCAGCAACCATCATAAGCTTCTCAAACCACAAATTCAAGTCCTCAGTCCTCAAATTACCCTTTCCAACCATATCACTTCCAGCCTTCAACTTTCCCTCCTGTCAGAAAAGGAAAACGGATAAGGCAAAGCAAATCCCAAGGCTTAAGGTTTCCAAAACACAGTTTGTAACAAAACGATAATCACCACAAGCCAAGAAACGCCCATGTGCCCAAGGCCCCTTTAAAGGCAATTTGTAATGAAAGCAACAGAAAGATAAATATAATTATTATTATAATGATTTATTATACAAAAAAAAAAAAAAGGGCATGATCTTATAAGAAGGATTCAGCACATTACATAAATACCCATAAATTCCTTCTCAATTACATGATTAAGACTTGGCAGAAAGTTTCAAACTTGGCACTAGCTGTATGACAGAAGGATCAATTCACAAGAAATTCACAAGAATGATTATCAAAAACACCCCCCCCCCCCAGCCCCTTTTTTCTTAATCAAACTTGGCATACATAAAATGAAAATCAAGAAACTGAAATCACAAGGGCGATGAAAAAGCACTCAGAAACGAAACTAGGCAAAATAAAAATCAAAACTTTTTTTTTTCCTCTGACCAAAGACATGATCCCATGAACACGCAGAAACAAATAGCAACTAACAGCTATGACGGCGATTATTACCACTGTAGCTAAGAGGAGAGAAACAAACAACTCTTTTTCTTTTCCAACAGAGAAGCTTGAGTGCTTCTCTGAAATTGTGAGTGGGAGGGGAAGGTCTAAATATTGTGAAGAGAAGGCAAAAGGAAAGGGAAAGAAGCAAGGAATGGGAAGAGGGAGAAAGGGGCAAGTGATGTTACGCTGCCACGTGTAAGATTGATCAATAAGGCTATGACATGTTAAGTGGGTCCCAAGTAAAGTCCTCTGGTTTGATGAGTATAGGGGTCACCACCACAGAGACAGAGAAAAGAAAAGACGAGACGTGAACAGAAGAAAAGAAAGCAAATTCTTTTTATCGCTTTCTTTGATTTGAAAATTAAAAATTAAGGATTGTTTGAAATATAAAAATGGAAAGAAGGGAATGAAAGTAGCAATGGAATAAAGGTGGTAGCCTTGTAGTGTGTGTAGAAGTTTCCGTTTGTTCAAAAACGAAACCGCCCCCAAAAGCAGAAAATACTGAAGCCTGAATACCAGGCAAAAGAAAAACCAGTATTTGCTTACTGTAACACAATTAATTACCTTTATTTCGTTTTGAATAATAATTTTCAATTTCATAGCCTGTTTACATTATTCGTTAAATTAATTCTGATCAGAAGAAAATATAATCACCACCGTTAAATATGTACTTTCTTTTTTTTTCCTTTTTTCTGCATCTTAAAATAGTGATTCAAGATTGTGATATAAAATTTAAAGTATATTTAATTATTTTATCTTTATTAAGAATATTATAAACTTTTTTATTATATCTATTTTAAATTTTTTACGTAATAAATAAATAGAAAGAAGATGAAAAATACATTTTGAGATATTAATTATTTTAAGAGTAAAATTAAAAAATACATTAAATTATAAATTAATTATTATTTTAAAAATAAAATTGACTTAAAAATTATTTTTTAGAGATAAAAAGGTATAAGATTTTAAATTTTATAATCACTGGTCTTAGATTATTGATTAAAAAAATTAAAAAAATGTTAACCTTTATGAAAAATATATATGTATCACATTTTTTTAGAAAAAACTTTTATTATATTAAAAAATTATTTTTAATTCTTTAATGAGTGTTGATGAGACATTGATCAGCATTTGACTAAAATTTTATACATAATAAAATGTAACTATTATTTTTTAATTATAAAAAAATCAATTAAATATTATAACGACAAATCAATGAGGCATTAAATCTTCTTACAAATTCTTTTATCTGTAAAAAAGGAATATATATATATATTCATTTAATATTTACTTAATACGTATAAATAATAAAAAATATATAACTTAACTCTTTGGTGTTATATGCCCCTTCAATCGTTATCTTCAGTTTGATTCTGATCCCACAACCCACGATGGGAAACTCGACTGGGACTCCACGCTACAATGTTACGATGATTTATGAACCCTTCCCTCTCTGCTCCAATCAATCAATTTCTTAACAAAAATGGAAGTAAATTGCAGAAATAGGACACAAGTCACATCGGAGGGCTACAAATTACACTGTGATGGAAGTCACCTCTCTAATTATTAGTTAATCAATCTCTAATCAATTAACAAACGGTCGTAATAGTAGTTATTACGTCTTTAATTAACACCAGGTCTACGTTTATAATTGGTAGTATGATTGATTTAGCTCGTGCTTAGTGTAATAATATTTCAGGGTACACCAAAATAAAGATCATATTCTTGTTATAGTAAAATTGGCATGTATTAAAGAGCTTTTGACAGCTTAGTTAGCAGTGGCGTCTTGGTAACCTTATGCAAAATAATTGATTTGATGCAATTGTTTATGCTTATCACTTAGCTATGTGCTTGTGACTTGTCCATTGTGGAGACCAATCAAGTATTACTGCCATTTCAGAGAGCATAGTGAAATTAAAGTGAAAAATGTAACTTTTTCATTAATATGGTCAATGTTGTCACGTGCACTGCAAAATGTGTAAGGGTTTAGGGATGGGATGACTTGTGCACCAAAGAAGCGTTTAGATCATTTGTCAATGGAATAATTCATCGTGCCCCTTCTTTACTACATTTTCTTTTATTAAATTTTAGCTTTTGATAAATAAATCTTTTAAGTATTATTTTAATTAACTTGATTCTCTGCTTTTTAGAAAATTAGAAATTATTCTAATTGTTACTTTATGCTAAAACAATTACTTTCAATGTTTTTAAAATTAAAGATCTCAATAAACCGACAATGAAAGTTTGATCATTAAAGACCTCAAAACAGAAACAACTATCATTGAAAAGTTTTCAATTAACAATAGTTTGAACAGCTAAAAAGTAGTTGGTCTAATATATAATTACAAATAAATAAATAATTTATACATAATAAATTTTTATTTAAAAGTTTAATATATTAATGATATTAAGTGTGTATTTAAGAAATATCATTTTTCTTGATTAATTGACAAAAGTTGTAAAAAATATTGTTCATTTTTGTTTGACGATAATTAAAAAATCGACTCATAATTTTTTATTATTTTAACAAATTATTTAAAATAAACAAAATTTTAAGTTTATGACTAAAAGTTATTAACTTATTTTATAGTTAACTTCTATTTTTGTTTTATTCTTAATAATTGTTATTTTAAATACATAACTTCATATTTTTTATAACTTTACCCTAAAATTGATTTTTTTATACCATCTAGATATAAAAAATGATTTTAAAAATACTTCTCACTTATATCTAAATATAAAATTTATTTTGTGTAATTAATTATTGAAATAACTTAATTTTTTAACTAATATAAACACACACTAAATAGTATAATTTTTAATTAAAAAATACTATTTACTTATTTTATATGATATATGCTTAAATACTCATTAAAAATTGAATAAAAATAAATTAAAAATCGATTGAAGTTTTTATAGCATTTTAGCAAAATCATATTTTTTTTTTCAAAATTATCAATTAAAACATTTTTAATTAACTCAAAATATAGTTATCAAAATCTAAGAGAAAGTAGATAGTAAAATCAAGAGGCATTTCACACACTTAAAAAAATTTAAAAATAAGAAACAACTCAACCCAATTAATTGTAGATAATTGAGAGGAGTTGACAAATATAATAAAGGGATAGCGCAATGGTATTAATATATATTGCCTTTATATAGTCGATTTGTTTAACAGAGCGTTTTGTTGCTTGAATCTGCAAAATTTTCTCAAGTCAATCGTAACCAAAAATTGTAAATAAAAATTAGTATTATTGAACCCACATTTCTAAACGATAATTGCATCATGTCGCAATCACCGTGAATGTATATCATTTTTAGATACTACATGAACACTTCACACACACTTTTATTAGTTGCTTTTGATAAATTGGATAATTTTTGAAACATTGTACTAATACTAATTAAAATAATATAATAATTAAAAATTAACTTTTTATTATATTTATAATATTTATAAACGTGTTTAAAACATGGATTCGCTCATCTAATTTAGACTTTTTTTTATTGAATATTAATTTTACATATATAGATGTGAATTAATAGAAGCTTTAAGAATGCACAAGTGGAGTGATAGGTGATAGGGTGAGGGTGAGTGAGTTGATGCGGCTTTCGGCACTTTGTCTGAATATTAATAATGGCGATTGCTAGCTTTAATCTTTGCATTTTTAACCTTATCTTCATGCAAATATGTCCAATGCATCTTTGAGGTTTAAGAAAAGGAAACAATGGATTCCTTTGTGAGCAGCAATGTCTGCATATGAAGTGAATCTTGCATTGCTTTTCGTCTTGGTGCATTTCATTATGTACCCAAAAGGTTACAGTGTTATGGTTGAGGTGGAAAACAAAAGAGACACTCTCTAAAACCACTTTCAAAATTCACCATCTACGATAATCATTGAGCAGCTTCCGGATTTTTTTTTAATAACAATATATATAAAAAAATCACCTTTATATTATTATTTTAAATATTTATATTAAAATAAAACACTTTTTATTATTTACTGTGCAAATCTTTAAAAAAATAACACACGACAATATTTAATAATCATTTATAAAAGTACAAATATTTCTTTAATCTTAGCCTTACACTTTCTTTGGAGTCATTTATCCCTGTATATATGAGATAAAATTTTGTTAGCCAATATGGCCGGAATACTTATTAAATAAATAACAAGATGGATTGAAATTTCAATTTTAAAAATCTTTAATAATTATTAATTGTCAAGCAAATTTTTATTAAATAATAATCTTTTTTTAAGATTGAGTTTAAATGATTAATATACGTTGAAGATATACAAATATAATAAATACTTTAATTTTTAATAAAATTATATTGTTATACTAGTTGTTTAAACTCAACTGAAGTTATTAAAACCGTATTATTATTTGAGGTATAATAATATAGTTATTGGCAGTCTTATATTTTTATATTAAACTCAGTGTTGTGTACATTGCCTGCATATTAAGCTAAGTATATAAATAAATTAGAACGTGAAAATTTGACACACTTAACTTAAGCAAGGTATATTCAAAAGAGTTTATATATTTATATGTCTTTATTTAATTATTTTAAGTTATAAACTAGTGTATGGAGATTATTAACTTGTTAAAACATGTGTGTTGTGTGGGGTGTGGGTGTAGAGTACAAACTAAATAAACTTTTTCAAATACATTTTTATTACAAATTGATTACTCAATGTTCATAAACATGTATTGATTAATTTTCTAACAATATTGCGTGTTAAGCTAATCATGCAGTTGTATATGTAGAAACTCTAACAAAGTAATCCAACATGTTCTTCATAATACATGAAAGGGGAAAATATCTTATTTTCAATTGCTTGAAATGGCAAATGTTACGTGTCTTTGATGGCGTTTCAAATCAGTATTGGGCATTGGTAGCTTCCAGAATCAGAAATCCACTTGTATCTGTGTATTCCCTGTTTCTTTTATAGCAAGTATATTTAAATTCAGACGCACACATATATTAGGACGTGTTTGGGTTGAAAACATCTTCTTTATTTTTATTGAAATGTGAAAATATCATCTTCTTTTTACTTTTTTTTTAAATTGTATAAAAATATAACTTTTACAAATAAAAATAAAATATTTTAAAGTGCTTCATTTTAAAGAAAACCGGCCTTGCTTGCTAAAACGATATGATCTTGAAGTTTGCTGTAATTTATCCTTTTAGTTGTATATTTGTGTAATTTACCAGCGAAATTTTAGGAAAATATATGCGTTTCTTCGCATGCTACCAAAATGTTTGTTGTTTAAATAGCAAATAGATTAATATACTTTTTTTTGTCAATGGTATTTTTAGAAATATTATTAAAAGAAAATATTTCATCAAATGATTTTTTAAGATTTTTTTTATGTTAAGTAATTTTTTTCTATATTATATTTTTTTAGAAAATATGATCTTGATTTTTTGTTTTCTTATACCTTTTTAAGGTCAATATTTTGGTCAAATATAATTTTTTTGAGTTTTTTTTAATCATTTTTTTAGGTCTATTGCCGTATTAATGTTCCGTCTCGTTCTCTCGCTTTCCTCTTGGGTCAAAATCTCTGTATCTGGGCCACTGACAAAAAATTAATCTGGCAACTGTTTATATAATTTTTACGAAAATCTTAACCTTAATTCTTAAAATGAAAGGATAAATATGATATTTTTATTAAAAATTTATTTATCATTTTAAAATAAATATATAAGAAATATTATATTCATCTTAAAAAACGATATTTTAAATGCTTAATCTTAACTCTAAGAATTAAATTTACAAAATCGTAAATTCAGTTTCTTTAACATTGATACATCTGATGAGCGAAAAGCTATATTCATGATTTGGAATAAGTACTTTATAACTTTGTTTTATTTCAAATAATATACTTTTTATTTCTCATCAACTAAAGTGACTTATTTTATATTAAATATTTATTTTATTTATTATTTAATACTTTTCAAATAATATTACATAATTAAAATTTAAAATTATTTTGATTTTAATCAATTTTAATATACCATATTAATAGAGAAGACGTGTCTCAATTTAAATAATTTATTTTTATACTTCTCTCAATTTTTTATAATTTATTCCTATTTAAATAATTTAATGCAATAGGATATTTATCATTAAGAATAAAAAAATTTATTATGCTTTTGAATCGATTTTTTAAATTTTGTTTAAATTTTAAAGTACCCGTACCGTACCATAGTAGTTTATCTAAAATGTTAAAACTAATATTGTTTACTTTCTACTGTTCCAGTGGCAAAAAGATTAAAAAGAACAACTTAATATTTATGAGAAGGGTAATAATAGGGACAGAAAATTAAAACGTGAGGAAGGCAGAATATAAGCAACAAGCATTGTTCTGATATCAAATGGTGAAAGTCGAAGCAGTGTTCATGTTTAAGACACAAACAGCTTTATTCTTCTATACAATATGATGTGTCTTCTACAAAGCAACGAGAGCAGAATGAGATGCATGGTTCTCAAGTCAAGAACCTTTCCAACAAGTTCCCAAAGAAGAAGCTTGTTTTGGCCCATCCTCGATTCTCTGGTGCTTTGGCATTGCTTGGCACTCTCTTCACATCAACCATCATTGTCTTACCTATTTCTTTACGAAGTGCTTCAATAGTTTTCATGTCTACTGGGTTCCCTGATGCATCCCTCACATAGAACACATTCAGTGCTTGCTCCCCTCTTGTTGATACACCTGCTCTACATACTGTCAAACCATTCTCTCTTAGAATCCTTGTTACTTCTGACAGCAAACCCACCCTGTCCTTTGCACACAGCTCAAGGCTCACTCCCTGCCTCCATCCACACAATCAATTATAAGACTAAACATATTCTCCTTTTCCTCATCTAATTAGCATTATGAAGAAAATGACAATAAAGAATACAAAAATTTTAACCTGTTTATGAATGAGTTTGTACAACTACTAATAATAATATTATATTAAAAAATATTTATTGTGTTGTATTTTTAATATAATAAATTTTATTTTTCAATAAAAACTTTTTATTTTTTGGAGGTTTAAACTCAACCTTTTAAGATATTCAATTTGTCATAAGCTAATTACGAATATGGTTGAAAAGTATATTAAAAAAAATATTGTTCTTCATACGGATTTCTCTGTTTTAAGATATAGCGATGTGGATGATATTACATGCAGCATATAGATTCTTAAGCTCTACTGAAAGCAAAAGACCAACATTTTCACTAGTCTATATGATGGTCATTGATCTGCCGTAACATTGCAGCAATACAAGTAGATAGCTGCAGACGCAAAATGTGTTAATTCTGTAGAAACTTTTCTTTTGTAGAATCATATAAACTTAATGCTAACTATATAGTAGCAAAATTTCACCCAGAAAATTATGAAATCACTTACTAAGGACAAAATTTCCAAACGGAACCGAATTCCTTCTACAGGGAATGGGAAACTTGGAGTTGAGAATCAAAAGTTCATGTCTTTTTTTTTTCTTTTTTCCTTTTTTTAGTAGTTAAACAAGCATATAGAAATCAGTTGAAATCTGGAAGTTACCTCGCTTACTCTTCTGCGAATAGCAGCTTCAATGCATTTTATGACCCTTTCTTTCTCTCCTTCAGTATCAAGCGTGCATCCATCCATGTGTCGAATAAAGTACTCCTAAAAGTACCACATCAACTCTTTAGTTCACATTTTCTCAATTGGGTCTCTACTGAATTCCTAAATTAATCCGAGTTGGAATTGTTTAAGTTAGGTCGTTTCTTACAAACTACATGCTCCAAACATGTTGGGACAATCCAATTGAAGCCAAATATAGACAACAAGGATTCAATAAACATTAACAGTAGTAAAACCAAATTGAGAAAACATGTTTTCTAAAGACATACAAGGATCCAAGGAAAAAGATACTCGTTTTGTCTCTGAAAAATTAGTCTATTTCTTCCTTAGACCATTTGAAGCGCAAATAATCTACAATCAATTTCATGTTTTGTATCTGAATAGAGTTTTTTTAAAGAAAACCGACATATTTCTTAGAAAAACAAGTTGTACCCCTGATATTTGAAACAGCAGACTCCGTGAATAAGTCCTATGCATGATAAATAAAAAAACAAGCAGAACAAAGTATCAGTGTAACATACCTGGGATGCATAAGGGCCATCTGAAGAGATTGTGGCATGGAAAACAACATATTGCATGTCAGTAAGAGTGCAAACAATGTCAAACATGAGTTTTGCTCGGTCCTTGCACCTGACACTAACCACTGAGTACCCTTTTTCCTCACAACGTTCTATTGTGATTTTTGGCCTGAAAGAGGGGGGACAATCAACATCTGTTGTGACTCCAGAACTTTCATAATCTCTATCAGCAAACAACATTTGGTGAAGCCTCCTATCCATGTGGGTGAAACCCATGGAGAAACTGGTCCTAGCAACTTTCTCATCATCTTCACATCCACGTAAGATGTTGTTGAGCTGCTCCTCCATAAGAGATAATCTGTTAGGATCATCCACAGCTCGGTTCGTGGCATCGTTGACATAAAGGACGCAGGCTATTCGCCTGTTGTGAGTCCAAACTTCTGCTGCAACCACGTTAAAATGGAGGTTGGCAAGGACAGCTGAGATCTCAGATAAGAGACCTGGACGGTCTCTGCCTATAAGCTCTACGGCTGTATGATCACCAACAGAATGCACTCCAACCCTTTTGCTTGGCCAATTTTTCACCCCTTCTGTGCTCTGGCCCTTTGGTCCTAGAGCCTATTGCAAGAAAAACTGTTAAATAGGAGCTCTCAGTATTTGATATGCATTTTGCTATGCAGTTAAGGAAATGGTAGGCTGCGCTGGTGGCTATTTCGTATATGGGAACCTAATCAGTGATTTCTTATTCTCTTCTATATTTATTGAATTCATAGTAATAAATGATTTTATAATTGTCCAAATTTTAAGGAGTATTTGATGCTCAAGTTTAAACAAGGGTGCTGATCATATTCATATGAGTTTAAAATTAAAAAGAAACCCATACATCTGGTTTATACTACAATCATAGCTTTCGGTGGAAAGTATGACAAAGATTTCTCCCTATTTATTTGTATATATTGAAAGAGTTGTGCTACTTCAATTTTTAACAATTTAAATCTTTTAGATTGTGGTTAGATAGTTACCATATTTAAATATAAGAATATATCAGATAAATATGTTAAGAGAATAATAAGTATACCTTTTCAATGAAGTCGATGGTTTTGCTATCTGTTATCTTTTTTCCTTGCTGATCCGTGACATGAAATACTGTATTCATTAGGTGAACAAGTTAGCTGCTTGAATGTGTGTGTGTGTCTGCTTGAGAGAGAGAAAGAGTAGAATTGTTTGTCTAAACTCGAGTCAAACTCATTTTCACGACAAACTTGGAGAACTGTAAGACATACGAGTTCTCTTTTTCTGTCTAACTCATAGATGCAAAGACAACAATACAACACAACCAAGCCCTTTCTTGCTAGATGGAGTTGGAAATCAAATATGCAAAGACACAAAAGTGGAAAAAAAAGAAACGCTTCATTCTCTCATGATGCATTCATACAGTCAAAGGAGAAATGAAAATGCAGAGAAACTTGATAGCAGCCATACTTTTCTTTAGTTGCCAGTTTAATTAGGCTAATGACAAGCATGAACAGGATACATTTGTGGAATTAATGCATTTTGAATGAAAGTTCAATTCAATCACAAACATACCATCCATAAACCATCCCCCATCAGAAGATATGTAAGCCTTGGTAATTATGAAGTCAAGATCTGTCAAGATTTGCACTACTTCCAGCAGAATTCCAGGTTTGTTAACACTATCAACCTACAATTTTTTGGGGGGATAATAAAAGTCCATTAGTAGAGGTATTACAGTTGCATATTGCATCCACTATTCTCCAAATAAATGAGGCAATGAGGCAATGAGGCAAAGCACAGGCTATCCATAAAGTGGTATCATCCTAGGGGAATTCAGCATGATCCTAAAGTAAAATAAAGTTTGACTGAAGTTGACTTTTTGTTGAAATCACTGTGGGCTAAGGAAATGTTATTTGACCTATAGTTTTGAGAAAATCTAATATAATTTGAAAATAAATAAAAATCAAAGCTCTAGGTTCAAGAAACTTTAAAAACCGCAAAAGCTGAGCTTCCAAAGAAGCTTAATGGCAAAATCACAAGGAGGTCAAGGAAAAAAGTAATAAATTGTTATCTCGAGAAATTATACCTTGATTAGTGTACAATCATGACAGCTAGAGTTGTCCACAGAGACCCTGCAAAGTGTAAAAAGAGTTCGCTATCAACAAATCATTTCTTTCTAGGTATTAGAAAGTACCCCTATAAATCCCAATTCTACATGGAGTTATTTTGTTGGGCCCTTTACTCCATTTGGCATTGAGTTAATCAATTGATTATCTCTTATAACATCATAAAATTTATATTTTGCTTCGTTCTGGTTTAGTTCCAAGTTTAATGATGAATTAATGCAGTTAAGTGACACTTGGGGATTTTTTTGGTACATACACTAAGGAAAATGTTTAAATATCCATGAAAATCAACTCTAAATTTTATGTTATTATGATTATGATCAGTGATCCCTTTCCTTTATTTAGCTTTAATAAAAGAGGATATTTAATTGCAGATCATTTAAAACCAAAATCGTAACTCTAGAGAATAAAATGCTGAACCTTGGAGGGTTCATTCTATTGCTGAAGTTCTCATACTCAGGATCAAAATATGGCCAACAAACTGTAGCCATTTACCCACTTTTCCAGTCAACGAGGTGTTTCAGTTTTCCTGCACGAATGTGAATATCTGGTCTGGTTAGAATGAGAAACAAAAGCATTAATTTCTTTTCATAATCTGCAGATTCTATGCTGCATGAGCATGAATACTGGGGTGAGCTCCAAGAAGCATGCAAATAAAAAGAAGTACTTCAATATAAAAAAGCGACTATTTTAGAGCTGGAAAACACAGTACGGGAAACAACAATTTGTTGGTTATTAACATATTTCTTGGATATAATAATTGAGTTTTGACATACGATAGAGTATTCAGTAATGACTTGGTTCAATTCAATAATATAAGTCATAATTTGCCTCATTCTTGCAATCGCTACATAGTAATCACTGTACAGTTTTGGACTTGTGGTGTAGTGACTAGTGACAAATAACATTACTCAAGATAAATGCTCACGTACCAGTAACAATGTGTGTTTCTGGTATTTCTATCTTTATGTTATTTTTGTTTACGAGTCAGTAACGTAAGACACATTGCATCGTGTAAGAGTTATTTAACTTATTAGTATACTAGCACATGTGAAATATTATCAAAATTCCTCTATAATATCTCTTTTCCGATATACACGCAGTCTTGCATCTCAACACTTAATATCCAAAGCAGCTTCTTAATTCAATATTTCCCCTCCATCAGCGAGTAAAGCAAATAAGAAACCACAGAAACACCACGAGGAATCTTGATACAAAAGTTATGTTCTCTGTTACATTTGATCAAAGATCTTCAAATATTGCTGGAATGGTGCATATTCTTGACTCTTATAATTATAAGGGATCAAATGATCTCTATACAGTGCTTCAATCACTCATTGACTTACTAATTCAAGCATGCCTCCTTAGTACAGAATCTACGATTCTGCATGCTTCTTTTCTTGACCTTTGAACATGATTTTAGGAATAAGGTAAATGCTAAGTGTTCCATGTGCGTTGGATTAGCAAAAGCGGGGAGAGGGTGATAAGAATAGAGAGTTACAAGAATTCCAACAGAATCACGGCATCAGTAAAAGGAGACATTTTTTGTACAAAACCCATAGGAGTATATATTTTAACCATTGTTCAAATGCAAGAAAAAGAAACACAACTAATACCTGTCGGGAACAAGAAACTTAGATATAAACGATAATACCGAAAGAAGTATATATATAAAAAATTAAACCAAAAAATGTTATATATTTAGCACATTCTTAAAAAAGAAAAACATAAAATCGGAAGGTGATTTTGAGAAGGAATTTCCAACAACAATAGAATTTCATTTAGCGAAGAGACATTTCAGTCCAATGTGATATGGTTCACTAAGAAATGAGAGACTTAAACTATGCCACGGACTTGTAAAAAAGCAGCAAACACTTAGCGACTAGTGAGTAACACAATAGATTCTCGATCCAAAAAAGCACAAGCCATTTGAATGTGACAAAGATTTGATTCCAATTCCAACCCGAGTTCTAAGTTTTTTTTTCTTCCCTTTCTTTGTAAATTCAATCATCACACATGGTACTTCCATACCAAATTGCTATCACCGTATTATCTAAAATTATCTCATGATCTAGAAAGGTCACCGCCATCCAATCTGATGCCTCTAACCAACATCTAAAACTAGAAACAAAATTGATTAATTATGGTGAAATACGAATTTAACTGGTTGGGATATTTTTCTTTATTTCCTCAAGAAAAAATTAAATAAATGAAGTATAACGTAAACAAGGAAAATTTATACGGATCTTTTTTTTTTCTTCTCAGAAAATGAATTCTTCCATTTATGACTATTAATACATATCTAATTATATTTAATGATTTAAAATTATTTTTATTAGAATAAATTTTAGTTCACTTTAAAACAAACACTCGTAAATAGGCTTGCGATGAGATTGGACAGAGCCATGTAAGTTAAAAGTTATCAATTGGGCAATACGGTGTGAACGAACTACTTTCAAACATGGATAGAACAATGCGAACCATAAGATGAATATGAAAACGAAAGCAAATCAAATCACGCATTAAAAGTCATACATACTATAATTTGCAAGCTGTTGAAAATTTTTCATCAGTCCACAAAATTTCAAACTGTAACTTTTTTTTTATAAATAAGAAAGAGTTAAATATTTTATTCTTTTTAAACTGCGTAGAATGAAGCACTGAAGGCACAGAGTCTGAAACTAATGTCCTGTACCCACTACCTCATTTCGGCGTATCTTACTCGGCGAACATAAAATTAACAGTGAAGACACTGTTTGGTGGGCTTGTAGTGGCTTTCAAATGGACATGGACTAGAAACAACGGAACAGGAAAATTAATATTTATTTTATTTTTCACTTGACTTCAGAAATATAATAACACTATTATATTGTCAACTGAAATGGCCAACTACAACCGCAATATCTCTGTGCAATTCACAACTCTCTACCCGTATGTTTTTCACTGGTCACACACAACTAAGAGATATTTCTCTCACTTAGCACATGGCCGCCAAAACAAAACGTTTTTTTTTTTTACCCAAATAAAAGAAAAAAAAAATCCATTGAGGAGTTTCTGAAATCAACGAAAATGCTAAGAAGTCGGAACTGGAACAATTAATATCGATAAGAATTCATCAGAGGAAGAGGATTATTCATAGCTAACCCAATAAACTACTTCCTTAGACGACAACAGAATTCACATAGGAGTTGTAGAAACAGACATACATACCTTGATTTTTCCGAAAGGAGTTTTCCCGATATCCCGACACCAACCGTGAAACCTTAGTTAAAGGTAGGTGTTTCTCTCATCGGATGAGAGTGTGATATAGTTGGAGTGACATATACGTGGATAGACAGAGAAAGGAAGAACGAAGAGAGAAGAAAACAGAGTACTTTAGGAGAAACCTTTGTGTTGTGTGTTTCCTCTGCTTTCGACGTTGGAATACCACTCAATTCAAATCTTTCTCTCTCTATATGCTCAGGTAAATTGGAAAGGCTTTGAAGTGGCGAGGTGTTGGGAACCCATTGAATATCAATAACAATAAATAACAATATGAATTTCAATTATATCAATGACTCAATTATTTGGAAAATACGTAGTGTTACAAACTCTCTTCTAACTCTCTTTATATTTCGCTCTTATCGTTGATTGAAATTCGATAGAAATTATTTTTAGCATAATTTTTATTAGTCTCAATAAATTTTAATAATAAAACAAAATGAGGTGCATTAAATATTAGAATATGCTGTGTTTTTAAAAAACAAGTTGGCAGTAGTAGCGAAAAAAAAACACAACTTGGTAGAACACTCTTTCCGTACATAGAGTATCCTCACGCGCGCATGCTTTTCTTGATCCGTAAGGTGGTAGGACATACTCATGAATCCGTATAGCTCCATCCCATCCAAATTTTCAGGAAAAGTTTTGGACTAAATTCGAAATTAGTCTTAAACTATATGACTTCAGTATTTTTATTTTTTAAAATTTATAAAGTATTAGTTTTAAATTTCATAAAATAAAATAAAAATTAAATTAAATTTTGTGTTAATCAAGAATTAACAAAAAAATTAAAATCTTAAAAGATTAAAATGTCGAACTTATATGGTTACGAAAATTAATATAAAGATTTGCTGAAAAGTTTTGAATGTTAAAGTGCGATAATAAAAAAATATTTTAAAATGTATTTTTGGATTGCATATATACGTTAAATGTTTGACATTATGGAACGAAATTTTAAAATCATATAGCTGAGTTCACCCCAAAGGTAGGCTAAATGTATGTACAATTAGTGAGATTTGATTTGTTTAAATTAAATTTTGGGTAAATAAATATAAAATCGATTCAATTCAACTTGTAATTTTGTTTTATTTTCTCTTTTAACTAATATTTTAAAAACTATATTTATATAAATTTAATAATTAAATGCAATTTAAATTCCATCTAATTAACTCAGTGTAGAGGAATTGATTTTCCAAATCGGACCTCAACTTATAATATAATTTTTATTAGGTAACAAATAATCAACGCTCTAAGGAAACACTTAAAGAGTTAACAATAAAAATGTTTATTTATATTTTTATTATGATTTTTAATATAATTTAATAAATATATTTACAATTTTTCAATTAATTCCAAAAAAATTGATCAACAATATCTTTTTATTAAAAAATTAAATATACATTCTCTTTAAAACACTCTTCAATATATTTTTATATAATTAATATAAAAAATAATAAATAAGAATAGTTGTGGAGAAATCAAAGTGAGTTTTGATTATAGCATTTTGGTTTGGTACGATTTATTATTTTCCATTTTAAGTGATTTTATTAACATCGGGTTTCTGAGGCGCGTGACAAGTGTTTTGAGTGCGCGTGAAGGTGTTGTGTTGTAGTGCTGTACGAGATCTGTTGGATGTTGTCGTATTCCTTGGAAGGACGTAACATACGGTAGGCCACAGTACAAGGCGGGGAGTGAAATGACGAGAAAACCCTTGGGGACACACGCACACACACTTGGGGGCAAAAATACAACTGGTTCCTGTGCTGTCTCTTTGATTTGATTTATTATGAATGGACTGCAAATGTCGCTAACCTTCATATCAAACCTCCTTCTGCAATACCCTAATCACGTCAAATTAACCTTTCCTTTTCTTCCATCGTCTATTTCACAATGAAAATTACGCTAATCTTCATTACGCATAGTGCCATGCCACATAACATATTTTAAACATTTTGACTTTACCCTTAACACTAGAATCTAAAGTTAATATTTTTCCTTTATTAATCACGACATTCGCATTAAGCTTGAAGTGTGAAACCATGAAGCAACTAAAAGTACGTCATGAACAAATGGAACTACTGAGAGAGAAAACACATCTAAAACCTAGCTCACGAGCAATTGAATAACAACAATGTTCATATATTCGCACAGTAATTGCAGTTTTCTTCTGCTTTATATTCATATCATGGCAATCACTTGATTTATAAAATTTTACATAATTTAAAAATTAGTTAATATTTCTTCATCTTGTTTTATTTTAATCAATAATATAATATTTAAAATGTAAATAAATGACTATTCTTATGTTACATATCTACAAATAGCTGAGTCGTAAAAAATTTTGTACACGTGTTGAATTGAAATAACAAGTAGTTAAAGAAGAGAAAGGACGAACCTAGAAAATTGGAGTTGTTGGGGGAACTTAGGGTCGACCAAAAACAATGGCTACAGTGGCTATAAAATTAGAGAGAGACACTTATTGGTAGTTGAAAATTATTTGTAAAGTAATTATGCATGTTTGACTATTGTCGATAAGGTGTGTCCATCGCTTAATAAGTAATTAGCAAAGACAGATTACCAAATTGTAATCGGAGGCACATATTCTCTAGGTTATAGTATAATCGTTTTTATTCAGTATTTAGTTGGATGTTTGCAAAATTAATTTTGAATGAATTTAATTTTACAAAACTAAGAGTAAATTATATAATTCTTTTAATAAATACATATATTTTATTACTTTCTCTTTTATTTTAAAATTATATAACCTCCTCTCCTAAAAAATAAAAATGAATTATAATTTATTTTATTTTAAAATAATTTAATTATAACTTTTGTTTTTATTCATTATTCTAGTCCTTCAAGTCATCCACCTTCAATACATAATAACATAATATTTATTTATTATATTAAATAATATGTATGATTGATGGTATAATAAAAATATATCGTATACGGATATACAAAGTGATGTGTGTTTCTATTTTATTTTAATTTATGAGATTGTTGATGTTGAATATTTTAATTCTTAATTCTTAAAACATTTTATTTATTTATCATTTTTCTTTTTTATTTTTAATACTATTATTGTCATAAACTATCATTGTTTATTATTGTCTACAACTGTATTCGCTACTAATGATTTCAAACTCAAATATTAACCCAAGAAAATAAGGTTATGTCAAAGTATATAAATAAATATCATGGACAAACTTATATTCTCTTATTAGGGTTTATCAAAGTTTGAGTTTTTGTCTATTTGAAAAATTTAAAAATTAAACTTAATTATTAATAAGCCTGTTTAGAAACAGTTTAAATAAATTGTTTGAAACTTTAAAATCCTGTCTATCAAGTGTTGAAGTAACCAACTCAAGAAAAAAGAATAATTTCTTTAGAACCATGATTATTGCTTTGATATTGTCAAGGTTGTTTTCTTTAAAAGTTTTATAACTTTAGGCTTGGCATTAAACATGGTATAAGTCTGCGAAGGGATTAAATTGTCAAAGAACTTGATCCAAGGTGAGAGTTTTAGTAACTCTTACCACTTAATAATAATGTATAAAAGGTTTTTGTAAAAGGAGCGATACATATTATCATTCTTTTAATATGTATTGACGATGTTTGACTTAAATAACTAAAGTCATACATGGAAATAAAAGTTAAATTAATGAAATTTTTTAAATTTTAAAAAGTAAAATGATTGATGCTCACAATTTTAGAAGTTAAATTAAAAGTTTAGTCTAAAAAAAAGTAGAATGTGAAAATATTTAAAGATTCAAGGGTATATAAATAAAAATTAAACTACAAGTAAAAAAATAAATTTAATAAAAATTAGATTATAATTTATTTTTTACGATGATTAGTGAAAATCTTAAAATAAAATAAATTACGATGCATTTTAATTTTTTAGGGAAGGAGATATATAATTTTAAAATAAAAGAGAAGATAGTGCAATATATGTATTTTTAAGAGAGAATAATATAATTTACTCTAAAATAAAATAATTTTAATTGGTTAAAAGCTTTTAACACGAATTAACGCTTTATCTTCCGAGAGGCAATTTTGTGACCATGTTTTATAGTAAACACAATACATAGTAACACTTAAAATACCAATTATAATATTGATTTCATATAAAAAGAAGTGAGCTTCCAATAAAATTATTAAATTCTTACAGCTTAAGAAAAAGGTACCCCATGTGAAATACGGTTCCGGACTTGGAAAGGACGCCATTAAAAATAGGTCGAATAAAGTGATCATAACGATTGTACCAAAAACAATAACCAAAAAGTGGCCAGGAGAAATTTATAAAAATCAAAATATAGGTATAATGCTAAAAGTATTTTTATGCAATTTTTAATTAAAATTAATTTTAATAATTTATAAATAAAAAATAAAAAATGATATATAATTTAAAAGTTAAACTCCAATCTTATATAAAAAATAATTGTGAAATGTCTAAGCCTAACCCGCTTTGTGAGCTAAAGAAAAAGGTGGGCTAAGATGGGTTGTGATTGGTGGCGTGCATGGTATGAAAATGAAGTCTGGTAATGTTTTTGCTGCGAGCGATGTTTGATTGGAGTTGGAGATTCATAAGCACCACGGAAATGTGTAGCTCATTGCTATATATTACTATAATGCGAGCTTTTCTATGGTTATGTGGCCACCATTGCTGTCCCTAATTAGAACCTTCTATGCAACTAGGCACCGGATGTTGACGTACACATTTTTTTTACGCAAGTCCATAAATTTTCATATACACATCCATTTAAAGTTTAAAACTAAAACTAAACTATTAATCATCTTTGAAATTTTTCTCAAGTTGTCTAACATTTTAAATTGTTTTTTTAACTAATGATATATTACCAACTTCCTTAACAAATATCAAAATTATTTGATATGCATATATGTACATATATTAGTAGATATCAAAATTTAGCACGACTAATCTTTTGCGTCATTATAAATCTACATAATTTTGTGCCGACACATTTCCAGTACTGTCACACTTTTGTCATATAATTGTTGGCACTCGGCAGTTTGATTAGATAATTCGTCTTCGTTCCACGTTGGTGTCTTTTTCTTAGGGATTCGCTTTTGTTTTTTCATTTATAAACTTTGGAATAATTTACCTGAAGTTTGGTGGCTATAACTATCTCAAGCGCTTCTCAATTGTGGAGCATTGTGTATTTTGACAATAAAATCAGCATCTAGCTTTCAATTAGATAATTTGGATCTGTGGTTTAGGTTGGCCACAATGATGGGATGAAGTTATGCATAGAGATTTCTAGTAGGCTTTTTTCATTAAAATAAATAAAAGATGAATATATACCTCCATTATTTTCTTGAGTGGATAAATAAATAAATAAATAATGCTTGGGTAAAAATGCACAG